TGCAGCTGAAATGAGGAGGAATTTCAGGTCACAGCCTCTCCCTGCTCACTTCTTCACCTCTGATGTGGGACATCCCTCTGATGGCTCTGATACCTGGACCAACTGATATTTTCACATTCCATGTTTCACCAGAATTCTCTGTTTGTGCTTCTTGCCCTCGCTTTTTGTCTTATTTAACATCTCTGCTCCTCAGTAGTGATTGCTTACTCCTGCTGAGCACTGAGGACTCTGCTCAGAAGGAAAGCTGCAATCCTAAGCATGGTCCTTGCAAAATATGGCAATAGAGGGAGTAACTTAAAAACCACATACATCCCACTCCAAAAACCCCCAAAGCACTTTCTTGGAAAGCAAGCCACCCTATGGCCCTATCAATGAAGATATAACCAGTAAGTGACAGCTAAGCCTGACTGTGAAAGTAGGCTTGAAATTACACTGACAGAGCTACAGCTTGCCTTCCAAAGCTCTGCTAAGTTCTGTAATGGCTGTGTCTTCATCCTGCCTACTGCTGATCTTCACTTGAGGTGTCACAGATGGCCTTAATTGCTTATCTCCTTCTGAGCTTCATACCTGCTGTGGTAGATTAACAGATGGGACTGATCAATGGGCTGAGCACAGCCCTTGGGACCCCTAAACTGCCTCTCTGCACAGTGATTAGTGCAATGGCTTCTCCCCACTCCCATAAAATTCGTAATCTTCTAACTGAGGTACTGTCACATCTCACCTTTGGTGTAGCCCCCTTCACTCTGTGCTACATCCACAGGCAGTGACAATCCCTGGGGTCTGTGCTGGGCAGCTTTACAGGGCTGGCACCAGCCCTGCTGACAGAGACCTTTTGCTCACCAAGAGGCCAGGGGAGATCAGAAAGTGCACACTTGCACCTGTGCCAAGAGCACTGGCCAAAAGTGTTTCAGATGGCATTTTACTAATGCAGTGCAGCCAGCAACTCTGAACCAACATAAATTATACCGGGAAGATGAACAAGATGAAAGATCCTTCATCTTACCACAGGCAGAAAATACACACAGACATTTCCTCATGGTGCCTGATGCTCCAGAAAGAAAACACAATGATTCACATGGTGGTGATTTGCTGTTGGAGACTTCAGGTCCTACTGATTTAATGCAGCATGCAGCAGTAACTAACAATTTCTCAGTGGCCTTGCGTAAGAGTTTGCCTGAAAGCAGTGAGCAGAGTTTTGAAAACATTTGCTTTAGCTGTATTTTATGCCATGCCAACCCCATGAATCTTAACCTGAATGGAGCTGGTGTGTGTTGGACTCCTCTGCTGAGCTCCCAGAGCACGGGCAGCAATCACAGCTGATACAAGGATTAATCTGTTTCCCAGACACGATGCTGTGCTGAAGATCCATTATTCAATTACAACACATCCACGTCAGAATAAGTCTGTGACCACCTAGAAAGTTCTGAAAACCTCAGCCATCCCCATTTATATTAAAAGCAGCAGAATAGGTAAGTGCCCTTTGCTGCTGAACCAGGCAAGGCTCGACTAATTAGAGTCTTACTGTCAGAATAAGAAGGGACTTTGGACTTAGCACAGTATCTGGTTTTACTCCAGGGCTGGTTTTACCCACAGTTCTCTGGTTTTGCCCCAGAGCACTTCTATCCCTTCCTTCACTACTGCTACCACCTCTAGAGACTGTTGGTAAGAGCATAGGTCCTTGAGTGATGTAAACCAGAAAAGCTTTTCCTGCCTGATGCTCACTGCCTATTGCACATGGTTACAAAGAATATTCCCTCATCTTTCTGGTTTTAATGAAGCTTTTCTCTTTAACATCCAACTACAACCCTTAAACTCACTCTAAATATTTTTTTTTTTCAGTTTAGAAATAATCATACCTCACCATATCTTCTTCCTCATCTGGCTTGGTGTCCTATCTCTAACAATATCCTCCAGTGGACTGCTCAGGCTATAAATGATGAATATCATGCAGGATATACCATGACACAGAAGAGTCTGGAACACTGGTGTGGAAAATGAACAACACTGCCTCACCTCTGCTGCTGCCAAGATGCAGCTTTTGTCCCTCTTAATCTCTGCATACAAATCCCAGTTACTTTTCCCACAGAAGAGCACTGGAGAAAAATTACCTGGAAATCAGAGTGTTGGTGCTGTTTCTTTTCATTACTTTGTTCAAATTCCGTTAATTTTCTGTATTTTTCTGCTTTTAAAGAATTGAGAAACTTTACTAGGAGCACTGAGAGCAGTGAGAAAGCATTCTTGGTACAATTTGGCAATAGAAATGGGTAACACAGTGATTGCCATCCCTCTGCCCAGTACTGTGCCACTTACTGCCCTCCCACACAATAACAAATGTACAGTTCAGGCTACAAGTCGTTAAATCCTGTGCTCCTGGAGTCCCAGGGCAAGAAGGGAATTTAATTTTGCATTTTTATGAACTGTATGTGCCTCCCTAATTTCCACGAGAATGCACAACAGGTCCCGTAAGAAAAAAAATAATTACAACAAAGCAACTTACCAAGAAAATTTGTTATGCCTTAAGTCCTGAATTCTCACTGAGCCTCCTTTCTCATGTACTTAACCCCTTTTGTTAAACAACCACCACTCGCCAAGATCAGTGCCAGGTACCAGGCAGGGTAGGCAAAAAACCCCTGAATAATGTGGTGTAACTTTTTATAGACAAGATGGCAGCAGAAAACTGTAACAGCCTCTTCTGCATTACAAAATAAGAATGTAAGAACAAATGTGCTGTGACCTACTGGTGACAAATGAAGGTAATATAAAGCCTTGTAAGATTTCAGGTTTATTAGCATTATTTAACTTCTGAGACCATTAAAGGAGGCATATTTGATGAATGCAGCTGTGGGGACAGAATGGTTTTTGTTATGAAAGCCTGGTGTGTCACAGAAGAGAAACATTAGAGGACAAAGCCAAGAGCTGTACAGCTTGGGAAGAGCAGAAAATATGAGGCCAAGGCGGTCAGTACTTTTTAACAGCTCAGATGTTACCAGGGAGAGGGCATCCATGATGGACATTGCTGGAGAAGTTCCCAACTCCCAGTGGAAATGGCTGGAATAGCTGAAGAGAAATTCAGATAAAAACATCCCAATGTCAATGAGAGCAGAAGTGTGCCTTGATCACACTATGGGAACACAGTGAAATTCTGGAATGACACATACTGCCTTATCAAATCTACTGTTAATCATCCTTTTATAGGCTAAAACTTTTCAGGAGACACTCCTGAGGATCCAGTAGTACCTCTTTTTCCAGCAAAAACTAAAAAGAACAAACACCCATCTGTACAAAGGGCAGATGTGGATTTTTGTCTCCAAACTGTGGCAGCCAGATGTTGATAAAATAACATGATTTTTAACTCAGCACACACCTTATTTATCAAGATACAACTTTCAGAAACAAGCACTGGAACAGTTCCACTAAATACACACACCATATATTCTTCCCACAGTCAGTTAATTATACAGCTTAGTGGAAAAGCCTCGTTAATGTTATGCACTTTACAGAAAGTATCCACATCTATCAGTGGAATGGTATCTTATAAAAACACTTGCCTGATTAGCTGTGTCTTCCCTTTTAGAGACAAATTTTGGCCACGACCAACCAATCACACAGCAATCAAAACCGAACATTTTTAAGAACGAAAACAGAAAAATCAGAAATTACCAGGAGAGCATCACAGTAACAGATGGGCTATGTAAAGGTTTTATTTTTTATTTACAGCAAATATATTACAGTAAAAAAGGTTAACATGACTTGTGGCTGTGGAAGGATAGTATGTATGCTTACATCAAAAAGGTTTCATTTCCTTGGCACTAACTGAACCAAATACGAGGATTCAACACAAAAATAAAAAACAGAACATTTATTAGGCAAACTCTAACTGTACACATCTGCAACTGGGGTTTCAATGCAATCCAGAGTCATCAGGATGGCAAGGACTTTTTCAACGAACATGTTTAACCCTCAAGACAAGGCTGTCTGGCACCATTTAAAAGTTGCTGTACTGAACACACTGATTTTAAAGAAATGTCATAGATGATTAAGACACTGAAAATGCACTCAGCACAGTGAAGAAGCCCATTCTTTTCCTTATTTCTTTTTTTACTCCCACAATACTGGAGTGTTAAAAGGCTGCATGGCAGACAAGCTGGATGCAACATCTGGAGGGTTTTGCCTGTCAAGCAAAGTGACTTGCAGCAAGAGATGTGATTTCTGCAACAAACCCAATGATACACAGCTTGTGTGGCTTCAAGGAAGATGATCTAAGAACAACAAATGTTGAAGCCTTATAAGCTCTTTACATCATAATCAGAATCCTCAGAAAAGCAGGATCCAAATTACTCCAAGTGAATTTGGGCTTACTTATACACAACAAAATTGTCCAGATACATCGACAGTAGTAAACAGAGTTAATGCAGTGTTAATCCTTTTACATTTTAATGACTAGCTATAAAACAGAAACTAGCATGTTCAAATCTGTTTACATTTCCTGAGCTTAGTTAAATGAAGAAGGAATGACATTATAAAAGTCCCGGTAAGTCACCAATAAATTAAAAATGTACATAACCACTATAGCTTAAGAAGCTCAGAGTGAAGATTGCCTATCCAATATCCTTTCTTTAGGATTCTTGTACAGAAACCATGCCATTAACTTCACTAGCAATACTGAGATGCTATGGAACTGTAGGTCTTTTTTTTCTTGCTCTTCCAGCAGACTGCCTGATGGCCTTTCCTAATCAAATCATATGAGAGCATTCAAAAATTGCAACCCTCTGCTTGCAGTGCACAAAACAATGTTCTCAGCAACACAGTGTACTACTGAAATTCAAATTTCCTAGCTGCAGTTATTTGGGTGGGCTCTCAGTTCCCACATACAACACCACTACCCTGGCAGTAGGTTTGGAATCATTTGGGGGAACAAACCAGGAGACTGGAGGGAAGAGCCTCAGCAATATTCATCTTAGCAATATTCATCTTAGCAATATTCATCTTAGCAATATTCATCTTAGCAACATTCATCTTGGCAATATTCATCTTGGCGGTTTCTTTAAGAGCCAATATCTTGCATCTGAGAAAAGCACTCGACCTACATGAGTCATACACATGTTTATTTATGCATGTTTATTTCCTGCATAGAGAATACTGTGTACCTTGGAATAAAACCCAAGCCTTGAGAATATACTGAGAGTATATTTGTAGCAGTGCTATGGAAGATTAATTCAAACCCAAACAATCAAACTCAACGGTCTCAAAGACTTGCAGAGCACAAACTTTGATAAAACAAACCACTTTTTAAAAAACTGTCTGCTTGTAGCATACTTCTATTTTATGGTGTAGATAAAAGAGAGGTAGAAAGGTTTGTCTCCTCAGTATCAGTTTCTGTGCAGTATTTATTAAGTATCAGAAAAAAAATCTATAGCTTTTCTGTGAAAATGCCAGCTTTTCTCCTAAGAATTATAAAGAATCTCTTCTTTCCACGTAAGTGCTGCAAACTAAGTAACTGGAATCTGGTTCAGATGAGCTATTCTTTCCAGTAGCCTCACCACAACAATTTTGTTATCAAGTTCTGCTTCTAAGAAGTCATTAGAGATATACTCCTATAGGAAGCTCAAAAATTCCTTAGAGATACAACCCTCCAAACCATATTTACCAGCAAAATAGCATCAAGCCTGATGCAAAAAAAAAGCATTCACTCTTGCTCAACTTGCACGATCCATCTTATGCAAGCTACCAAGAGGGACAGAGAAGAATGGAAGTATGGAAGGCCCTGTGGCCCTTCCCCTCTTGGGTGATGACCTCACATGTGAGCACCATCATCACCCTGTCTGGCAGAACATCCTGAAGCAGCTTCTCTTCCTGCCACAATCCATTCTCTGCAGCAGGAGGATGGATGGTGCTTTAGTAAGAGTAACCTCAAAATAGGTAGGAAGGAAGACCTGGCCAGGAGACACAGCTGAACAGAAACCATGCTGGTAAGATAAATATCCATCTTTCCCTGGTATTAAGACAAGCTTGCAGCACTACAGTTTTGATTGTCACCAGATAAGGGAGAGAGATGGAAACATCAGCTGCAGACATCAAGAGTGTGATCCGGAGTGCAGCACATTTCCCACGGAGCTGAGAGCCTCGGGCCCAGCAGTGCCAGGGAAAGGCAGGTCAGAGGCACCAGGCTGGGATCTGCCCACAGGGGCTCCACTCCTGACCCCTGCTCTCATGGCACTGCCAGAACTGATCTATCTGCAAGAGAGGACCTGCCTGCTGACATTTCGGGGCACACAGGGCTGCAGCTCCAGCTTTATTCACATAGCAACGACTGTTCAAGGGTGGGATTTGAGCCATGAAAGTCAGACTGCTGCATGGTGACCTTTAATTTACCCAGAGAATGTTAAGCAAATTACATTAAATTAAATTCAGTCAAAGCAGATGCTAGCTTATTTATTAAAAAGCTCAGCTTTCTTTCAACTGGTTTTAGAGACCAGCAGCTCTTGGGAGCAGACCTTCACTCTAACTTAGTGAGACAAGCAGCTCCACAGAGATGGCCAGAGTGACTCTCCTGCAGCAACACCAGCCTAAAGAAGGCCTGGCTGTCCCTAAGGATGCCCAGCAACAGCTCATGAGCACAGCATCTTTGCCTCCTTGCTTCCTACACTTCCCACCCGACCCAGGTCTTCTCCCTCCTTCCACAAAATCCGCACCAGACTCACAGTGGAAGACAATTCTTCACTGCCAACATTGCCTTCTACTGTCAGATATTTTAAGAAATCTATGAATTGATTAATATAAAGAAGTATTTACTCTGTTTCAGAAAGCCAGTACTGCTCTGCAAATATATAACTTGTCATTAACTTTTGATAGGGTTGGGTAAGGGAGCTCATATACAGTAACATGGTCGCATTCACAATCCAGGCTGGAAACATTTCTTTCTGTCAGTTGTAGCATGATGAGACAACGAATGCTCCTGTACTCAATCAATCAACAGGCCCTGTCCTTCAACCTGCTCCCTTTCAGCAGTATGCCTAAAAGCAGTCACATAAATAAGAGATGTGCTGTTTTCAGCCACACAGGCTTCATGCACAAGTCTGTTTTGTCTCTTTTCTTTTGTTCTCTGGAAACATTACTCTCATTAATTTAATTCTCCAACTATGATCCACCAAAATAAAAATAAATTCAAGTAGGAATCCAAACTGGTTATTGCTGGGTTATGGGTCAATGTAAACTGACCAGACCCAATGCCAACCTCGAATTTCATTTTACAAAAGTAAGGATTGTTTGATTACATTTGCTGACCATAGACAGCTTCTTTCACTATTCATACAGTTTGAAGACCAAAGATTTGCTGAGAACAAGACACAGTCCATGTTCCCTGGAAGTAAATGGAGCTAATAGCCATCATCTTCATCCATATCACAGCCATAATCTGAAACACACAAAGACAAGGAAATATAAAAATTCAAATATTCTGGGTAGAGGGAAGACACAATAGAAGTATTGCTTCTTTAACGTTGTTTTCTTGCTATGTAACTAGATGGTAAGTTTTGCCTTAGGCAAGCATTTTAAAAATCATCTATTTTCTTAGACCTAAATAAGTTCTTGCATGTACTTCCCTCGACGAAATAAAATTATTTTTAAGCATGTATGTGTAAATATCTCTTTTCACTTGTCACTAGACCCTCATTTAGGAATACTTGGCACATGTATATATTAAATACTTGGTTTAATTTAGAGGCTAAGGTGATCAAGCCTGACTGTCACAAGTGACTTGGCACACAGTGGCTGATAAGCAGCAGCATTACATTTACAAGTAGGCACGTTTTTCACTAGACATAGGCACCAAGGAGAAAGCTGGTTTGTTTATATTATTCATGGATTTATGAGCTGAAATTGCAAGGGTTCAGAGATAGCTCAGATTTCCCATCAACATCAAAAGAGTCATGGAACGAATCCTGACCAATGCATCTGACTCAGATCTCCCTTATCTTCTTACTTCTGCACTTAAAATTTTTTGCCCAGATTTTTAAATCCAGTTTTGTTTTCTTAAACAATGCTGAGTGCAAAAATTGTGCTGTGTGTCAGAAGGCAAGTCTGTATGTTTCTAATGCACCAATTTCACTTCTGTGTGCTTCTGAATGCACAGACATAGATATTTTCTGTTGTGTAGATGAACCTATGGATAATTATTACATATGAGCACTGAGAAAAGTTAAACTATATATTCCAAATCCAATACAGGATCTCACCCAAAGAGACAAGCAAATGTTCAGAAGTAGAATTAAGTGTAATCTATAATGATTTGTGTAGAATGGGTGAAGTTCACCATCTGTAATTCATGTAGCTATTCCAACCAGACAGGTCTAAAATCCATGGAGAAAGCAGCTAGGAAAGAATTGTTGTTCTGCTGAGCAGCTCTGCTCACCTGCATTCGAATTCTGGGAATACTCCTTTCCTTTTCTTTTTCATTTTTATTTTTATTTTTTAGCTCTAATTTTTCAGCTTTGTCCAGACCAGACAGGGAGTAGTGGAATGTTCTCAGAATGATTCAAAATTAGTAACGTTTACAATGAAAAAAACTCAGTGACCTTTATTCTATTTTTATGGGGGGTTTATTAATAAACATAGACCCACCCTCCCCCACATGAGTGCCTTTTCTTGGGAACGTTATTCTAATAATAAATGCAGGCAACAAACTGTTTTTCCTACGGTTCAGTAATTATTTTCCAGCAGCGAAATCAATTTAAAAGCAACAGACACTTTTGTGAAATGTATACATATTGTCCACAAAAGCTAAATTAACAGTGATAGAAATATTTTTGCAGTAAATAACATTTTAGTAGGAAACTTATTCCCATCTTGAGTCTTTGCAACCCATAATTAGCAGCTCTCGTTTTAAAAATAATTTTGTGTATTTTCAAAGCTTAACTTCTAACGGGAAGTTTTTAATAAAGGATAAATGTGGATATGTCCAGCTAGGAAAAACCACAGCAGAGAGGAGACTGCCTTTTCCTGCCAGCAAAGAAATGTAATTAAACCAGTGGCTTTGCTGGGTAACCCAAAGAAATTAGCACACATCTGTGCACCATACATGCAGCACCAATGCCATGCCTGCACTTGGGGAACAACTGCTTCCTCCTGACACCTTGCCCAGAAACAGAGTGTGATGATTTGTTCTGTTTCAAGCTGGACAGACACGTCCCCAGGGCTCCTGGATAACCTGGACATAAGGAGCAGGGAGGGGAGCTCAGGGGACCCCAGGCCCTGCTAATGGAGGGGTTACTGACCCCTTAACTCCTCAGATCCACCTTAATAAACCTAACTCTGGAAAACACCTCACACTCAGTTTCTTCTTGAGAAGCCCTCTTAGCCCAAAGCTCGAGAGGCAGTTTTCTCAGGAGGAGTCTCTAAAGTCAAGACAAAGTCTCTTTGTTTCAGACAAAGGTGATTCCAGACTCCCCACAGGAATGGGCAATGCCAAAAGGGCAGCAGGAGCTCTGGGACAGGGACCAGCAGGGGAACCCTGAGTGTCCCCACCCCTGCAAGAACAAAGCCCACAGCAGCAGGAGATGGTAACCTGAGCTCACCATTTCCTCCCAGCAACTGCAAGGCGCTCATGCAGTGATCTTCATCTTCTTCTACCTCCTCCTCTTCCACCTCTTCATCAGGATTGTAAGCTACTGGGCCACTCTCCACAAGCACAGCTGCTGGTTTTTCTACATCAGAGGCTTCAGCCTGTGCATTTGGAAAGGTAACCTGCATAAAAAAAGAGAGAATAGTAGAGCAGCTCTTCCTTTGGTCCAATATTTGCACATAACTTAAGCAACTTTCCAAACAATAAGGACAGGAGACACAGAAGCTCATGTCCAGTGCTACAGGTTCAGCTGTTCTAACGAAAGTCTCAGTGAAAGTCCAGCAAAACTACCCAGCTTTTGCTTAGTCCAGAACCAGGCAACTGAAATATTTAGTAATGGTAACAGCAGAACAAGGATTCTCTGGCAAGCACAAGGGGAGGAGAAATTTGAGAGTGAAGGCTCCTCAGTAAAGCTCTGTGGGAAAACTTAAAAACCTCTCCCACGGTGTGCTCAACTCACATCAGGCTTATTACAAAATAAAAACGTTATTGACAATTCAATGATAGCAAAAATGTACCCTTCAAATCAGAAAAAGCCCAACATGTATTAGTTTTGACAGCTCTGGTTGGATTTATTTGGCGGCGCAATGAGCTGTGGAACAAACAGCACTCTGTAGACAGCACTTAATGTGATGGCAGAGCACTCAGTTGATAATACACACTGGCACCTGTAGCATTACCTATGGAATTCATCAGAATAATGATCTCCAAACACTAACTTGGGAATCAATCATTGACAGGACCTGTTCCATACGTGTTCCTCCCCAGCTGCTCCAAGGTTAGACAGGACACAGCATGGAGGGAGAGAAAGGGCAACACCACAAGGGGACAGAGGTGAATTTGGAGTAGGTAATATTGTCTTTGGTTCACTAAGGAGAGATGTGGGAACAGGGCAGGAAGCAGCAATGCAGCCTCTGCCAGCACAGCACAGGCTCTGCTCTTTCTGATCTTTCTTCTCCTTTTCATGGTGTGCTCAGTCTGGAGCTCCACCTCCTTCTCTCATCCAGGCAAGAAACATCACAGGAGCTTTACCTCCAGAATGGAGGTACACTCATTCTGTACTCGGACTGTTTGAGGTTTGTAAACTAGAGCCCATGGCACACAATTAGCAGTAATTTGAAGAACCTTAAAGATTAACCATGAATGCTGTGTTGTCATGTGAAGAATTCTGAGAAAGGAGTATTGACAGTACCTGTCACCAGTCAGCTATTACCAGCACTGAGTCATCTTCCCTAGTAAGAAAGATGGAAAAGACTGGGACCACTTCCTTGGAAGGACAGTGGTGAGGTGCTTCTAAAAATGAATGGCACAAAGGAGACCAAAAAACTAACTCCTCTGGTCCATACCATGAGAAAAGTGCCACAGGGCTCTAGGTTTTAAATTACAGTACACAACTATGTACTGCATGTTCTCCAATTCCATTGGCAGCAAGCTCTGATAAAATGCTGCAGTTTAACTTTATTTATTTATTTATAAATGTATTCACTTGGGATGCAGTAGCTCCCAAAATCCCTGTAACTCCAGGCACTTCAGAGATACACCATAAGAGAAAATCCCTGTACCAGAAAGTTGATAGTCTAATTATTCAAACATCAAAGCTCTTCCTGAACTTGTCATACACCATGACAGTCAACCTAAAGAATCTGCCTGAGTTTTTCAAAGTCACCTCAGGGTTTGCTCCAATAGCTCATTAATAGGGCAAAAGACACCCATTAATTTTAATAGAAAATCAAGTATTTAGATATTCGGATCAGTCAAAGACAGGTTTTCATTATTTTTTAATGCTCAAATTAATCATATTATTTAGAGGAACTTCCCTCCAGTTTGTATTTCCTACCACTGTTTTTGCCTCTAGACTGATCATATTGAGTCCATCTTGGTATAAGCAGAAATAGACACAACAATTTGAGACAAATCAGCATCATAATATACATCAATTTATATGTTTAAAAGTATCCATCTGCTCTGAAAAAAGTGGGTGAATATAAAGGAGCTACAATTGAGTCATTATTTTTTAAATTTCACCATGCTAATTAAAATGTGACCTTCTTCTAATTATCATGTCCACTTCCAGACTGCTGTACTTTTAAAAATGTGCCGAGTTTTCTAATGAGCATAGAATAAGAAGTGAAAATGTATTTCCCTAGGCAGGATATCAAACTGTTTCTGAAAATCAATGACTTTTAGTCATTTTAAAAATAAGGCAGTCAAACAACCTTTAAATAGAACTTCCTGAATTCACTTCCAGACGTCCTGGACTGGAGTTTTGCACTTAGCTTTATGTATGGATGGGCAATTGTCAAAGGTGTTAAACTGCCCATGGGAACTGCTTCACTTTCAGAAGGGTGTCAGTGTCACACATTCATGGGCGAGAAGGACAAATACCTTTGGTATACTGAATTTTTAGATATGCAGTAGACAGTTCAATGCACACAAAATGCCTGTGAATACTCTGTACAGTGTGAAAATAATAGTGAAAGAAACCAGCTATCATTGTTATCATTGTTACCTGGTTTCACCCTCTGATAATAATCATGATCCCTTTGGCAGGTGCACAAAGCCACCCAAGGAGGGCTTCTGGCAGTGGCCAGTTACCAGCACTAAGTTTTCTGTGGCACTATTACATTTTCAAACTAAACAAACAAAGCAAAACCAAACCAGGCTGAATAGGGTAAGCTCCTTCCACACTGGTCTCTGACAGAAGCCCAGCCCAGCCCTGGGGTCAGCTCCAAAGTGCAGTTTGCAAAGTCTTTCTTCTCTGCAGGAACAGTCCAAGTGCTGAGGAACAGGCACCAGCTCTGCCCTCTCCTACACCTCATGACCATTTGTTTGACATGGACCTTTTTAGATGCTTGAAGGGAGTGTTCTTTTTTTTTCCTGTCCAATGAAGCATCATGAGGCTGTGCTAATGTTCCTAATGGGTAAGTAAGGGCGAGTCCAATCTCAGCTTTGCAGTGCTCACAGTAACCAACTCCTGGCCTGATCAGACAGACAAGACTCATTTCTTTTCCCCTCATCTACCACATGACCAGAGCCAGGCTGAAAACAGCTGTGGGAATTTCCAAACTCAACCTGTTGCACCAGAACAAATGCTGGACTTTTCATACCTCTTCGGTGGCAGCCTTCTTAGCAAACTGGGTTGAAATCAAGGGTCTTAATCTGCAAAGAAAGAAAGAAAACAAAAAGCTGAACATCAGAAAAGTTGCACAAGAGTTTGACACAGAGTACTCATTCTCCAAACAGTGAAAGCACTTTGCTAGTGTTATGTTGTGCAATTACTTTTTTAATGATTTAAGATAAAGCGCAGAGAGCCACAAATGCCACAATAATTAACACACACATTGCCTTGGAAGAGTCTGTCCCAGATCAAGGTTATAATAAAAGATGCCAGCACAGTAGCAAAACTTCATCTCAAACTGCAGCCCCAGCTTCTCCCCAAGGTCTTTGAAATGGCTGTGTTTGTCACATTTTACAAAAATCAAAAGAAAACTGATTTTTGGGAGAATGCAGGCATGGCAAGACTGGGCCACACTGATTACCTAGCACTGGTCTGCAACTGCTTCCCTGTATCTGATGATACACAGAGGATACCAGTAAGATTATGCATGCAGGATACCATAATCATCACAGGCAAGATCTTAACCTCCAGGTACAGAAATCATTAAAAAAAAAAACAACAAAAAAACCAAATTAACCAAGGACCCTGAATACTTTGAATGAAAAATGACAGAAAGTGAACATAAACAATTTTTAAAACTCTGCATCAGATGTGAAAGAGACCTGCAAATTTGGGGAGAAGAGCTGGATCAGTATAACTTTACAGCTAAGTGTTAAATATTATTACTTCTGAAAAACATTTCATAGTCTGTTGTTTCCTTACTGCCGAGAAGGCTGCTCTCAATCCATCATTTAGTGTTACTTTCTGGTCTCTCCTGCTCATCTAGATGTATCTAGTCACGAAGAGGATGACTTGCTTTCCACAGAAACACTTCTCAGACAGCTACTCAAACACGTCTTTTAACGAAGTCTAGGCAAACAACTTAATGAATACCAATTTATGCCTCCAGAGATACAGTCTTTTATGATAAGCAGTATTTTACTCTCATTTTTCTCTTAGTCATTCCTCCTTAACACACAGAAACTCGTTGTTTTCTTACTTATTTATTTATTTCAAATAATCAGCAGGAGGAAACAAAACCCCAGAGAATGAGCAGGGGAGACTCAGATCATTATCTCTGATAGTGGAGACAATATTAAAATACAAAATATTGGCTAAGCTCCAAAAAGGTTCAAAAACTGATCATCTCTGAAACACTTTGCAGAACCCAAAAGGCATTTCAGCACCTCAAGTAATTGAAGGTGCTTCCTCCCAGCAGATCAAAACAAAAATCAGCTAAGGGAATGTTTCAGGAGCTGTGCCACTGAAGAATCCAGAACACAGTATTCTGCTACAGAAACTTCTTGTCATATTATATAATTACAAAAAATATTCAAGGAAGAGATTCTCTTGACCTACATAAATATCCAGTACTTACAAATCCTCCTTGACTTCTGGGCTCAGAGAGGATATATCTGAAGGCATGGACACACTCTTCCCTATGTGCTCAGTCTTCTCTTTCCATTATCTAACCCCAGTGGTAGAGTTTTCACCTTCAAATGCTGTCTAGCCCAACCTGCTGCAAGGAGCAGGGATACCTTCAGCCTGGTCAGGGGTTCCTACCTGACTCTGAATGTTTCTAGGGATAGAGAATCCACCACCTCTCTGGGCCTGGGCCAGTGCCTCACCATCCCCATAACAAAAATATTTCTTCCTTAATTCCCGAGATTGGAGATTACCTACCTACTTTCAATCACAGTTTTCAAAAAAATCACCCCATTTAGATGCTTAAAAACATATACATGCAGCAAAGCCAAAAGGCTGCATAGCTGAAGGATTCTAATTACCAAACAGGCTGTGTTTCATTGACATTACTGAAAAACATCCAACACTGGTAAGAAATGGATTTTCTTTTTAAACCTGTAGTCATGATTATTGCAATTAACATTGTACCAAAGATAGCACCTTTTCCCTCCTGCTACCCAAAGACATCAGACCTCCCTGGAGCACCCTGAAAATATTTCCTCCCCCCAATTAAAATCAAGCTGTTGAGTAAGACTCACAAGGTAATCAGAAACTGCTGACATTTCTTTTAAAGCAAATTATACATGTGCTCACACAGTGAAGAAAACAATCACAGCTACAGGAAGCAGAGTAAACATTCCAGTTTCATTTTAATTAAAATAGTCCCCTAATGAAAATAAAAAGATTCACGTTTATGAAAAGCCTATTTGCAAAAACTTTAGTGCTACATCCAAGAGCCCTTCTATACCATTTCTCAGCAGCAAGGGACTCAGACCCAAACTGAAATTAAAGCTGTATTTCTGTTCCACAAGAGCTGCTCACAATGTGCACATCTTTGCTTCCTAACTACAAATACAGCACTGCTATCTATGTGATATGGGCAATACAGTTTCTCTCTCAGCATAGCATAAAATGCATCCAAAAGCAGTGGGGTGGATCCTGCTCCTGCCATGGATGGTCCAAGGGGGTCACTCATCACCTGGGTGGAATGGCCCAGCCCGCTGCCCCTCCATACTATCTGCTTCCTAAAACACTGGCCACAACACTGGAAAAAGGTAAAACCGTCACAAAGAGAGACAAAAACTTATTTCCCTGCTGAAATAATGGCTTTGATTCAAACAACAGCTATAAAAGTTATAAATACATAACCCCCTTGGCTCTCCTTATGCCTACAGAGAACCTTCCTATTACTGTACAAAACCGTTTAAGAAGGTTTTATAGTTGGGGTGTTGTTTTGTTTCTTAAATGCCCCAATGTCCTGACCTCCTTAAACCAGAGCAGCTGCTGCCACACCAGCCATATGGAGCAATAAATTACTGGCTGCCATGGCTACAGATACAGGCTCCTTCTGCTGTCTGGCTGCACCTCAGAGGGTGGAAAAAACGCATCTTCATGGAAAAGCATGACTGCTTTTGAGGCTGGGACAGGTCTGAGTATTAATGGTCAAAAAGCACCTTGAAAAGTAAGTTATTCAAGTATCTTATCCAACTTTCACTGGGCATGACTCAACATTGTCTGTAAAAGGCTACCAAGGGACACATATGCACATACACACTGCAGAAGAAAGATCCTGTCCTTCAAAGTCCAGACTGAATTAGAGGTTCACAAGCTCCATAAGTAATAACATCCTACATTAAGGTACAATTCCATATATACTGAAGTGGCAACAGCATCAATTTAAAATGTAATGTTGTGACTGGGAAATAACGGGGCTCTTGGTCTTCCAAAGTGTGTCAGTTGTCATTCACTATTTATGATGACTTCTAGTCTGGGGCATTTTCCTTACGAACTTTGCAAATTAACACGGTACCTTGTAGGAGGGAGTAACAGAACAAGCAACTTTCTGAACAGCAACGTGATCCGTAAAAGGGGATAAAAAAGATTTCACACAGCCCCAAGTGTGTTACATCCACCCTTCAAACTACTTCAAAAATTATGCAGATCTACTAATGCTCATGTCAGCCAACACACATAACACTGGAAGCAGATTATCTTGACACGTCTGCTACAAAAACTAATGGCATGGTACAAGGCATCAGAGGCTGCTCCCTGCCGAATCCGCTCCGCTCTCAGCTGAGATGTGCACGACAACGTCTGGGCTTGTCCTCCAGCTCAACAATTTAAAAGAAGATTCAATATAATAGTTCCTGACAGGGCTGGAGATCACACAGACTGAACTTTCAAAGTGTTTTTCTCTGAAAAACAAGCTGGCTGTGACAAACAACAGTTTTTATTTTGCTTATTATTTAATAACAAAAGATTACACAGCACAGTACATAAAAGAGAAAAAGAGCAGTGAGAGGTAATAAACCCACCTCACTTGCATCAGACTGTTCATCCACCAACAAGTTTGACAATACCATAACAATCTCCTCAGTGAAATCCTGCAAATAATTTGGAAATTCACCCAAAGCTCTGTTTCTTACTGAAGTTTAAGTTAATCCACCCATGTAGGGAACATCTTATTGCTGCTTACCACCCATACTAATTTTATACACGGATGGTCCCAGAATATACAATGGGAAGCAGAAATCAAACAGAGCCCACAGCCACAGGCCTGCAGTGTAATTATGCAGGTCATCTAAGACAACTGCCCATGAATCCTATATATCCATATCCAGGCCTTTCATGTGCAGAGACAGAAAAAACTATTGAGAAATGACTCAACAAGAGACAGGTCAGGTTCTTCACACTGGCTGAGGTCCTCCTCCCACCTGAGGCCAGATGGTTTTGCCTCAGGAGGTCAGTTTACCAGACATCTGTGTGAGAAGGAAATTAATATAAATGTTTATACAGGCTAAGAGTGCCCTTTAATTAGGTACTGTCAATGTTATCCTTACCGGAAAGCTGGGAATTACCTCTCTGCAAGGATTTAAAGCTTTTCTTGGAAACACAACAGGAGATACCAACCCACTGTCCTGCCATTGGGTCAGGACAAAGGGGTGACCCTCCCAGACTTGGATGACTGCTGTTTTCCAGAGGGCAAAACAAAGATTGCATGACAATCATAACCCTGAAGCACTTCAGGGTTTGCACATCCAGCTGTGGATCCCACCATCTTCTACATCTGCTTCAGCCTGAGAGCCAGATGCTCACAGGAGCTGCTCTCTCTGCTTGAGAGAAAGTGGAGGCACACAGCCAAGGCCATGGCTGGCTGTGACATCCATGAATAGCAGCATGATGCCCTGAACACAGGGGCTGGGGGTCAGGGTGCACTGCACCACCTCAGAAGAGCAGATACAACCACAGACACCACCATGCTCTGCATGCAGAATGACAAAGCACCTGTGATACTCGCACCTTGAAACCACGTGTGCCTGAACGTGAGGCAGCCAGGTGGTTTTGGCTTTCTCAAGACCAGGCTCTTCACCCTGTCAAGCTCACCATCACTATGAAAGCCCCAAGGAGTTTCCCTGAATCGTTCCTCCAAGTGCCAGGGCTGCAGAGACCCCAACTAATGGCAGAAAGGCTCCAATAAAGAATATGTCCAAACTGCAATGAGCTCAGCTCCCACACAGAGAGGTCCCTTTGGAGACGG